CCCAGGGGTCAGCTCTTAGGGCATCTTTCACAACAGACTTCAAAGGAGGTGCAACTAGAATAAGAATTGTGTTCAAGGTTCCACAGAGGGTAGATGGGAGTCAAGGCCAGATCTAGGTGACCTGGGAGCCATGCTCTACCTGACACCCTACTCCTTCCAGATTGAGGGAACAGGTGCAAAGCTGTAATTCAGAGCCCTCAACAGCTCCCAGACCCCGACTTCGATTTGGATCTCCTGGTAAAGGAGAGGAGTGCGAGCTCTGACCAAGATCCCTTTCTGCTCAGTCACACAGTTTGCTCAGAGACCGCAGTTTGATTCCATTTGAACCAAGCAACACTGCAGCTGATGCTCGACCTTGACACCCCCCGCCCCCTCCACCATTAAGGCTCAGTCCTGTCCCGGTCCTGTCCTGTGGGTACAAGATTCACATGGATACCTGCCATCCTCCTCGTAAGGGCATCTTGCTGAGGATGTGAACACATACCTGCAGCTGACTCCAGGCCCCCGATCATGTAGTCATAGCTGTCATGGGTTAACACAACTTGACAGGAAACATGGGGTGGGAAGCCCACCACTGCCAATAACTCACAGCACAGCTCACCAACGTCCTCCTAGAAATGTAGGAGCCTAAAGGGTGCTCCTTCCAGGAGTCTCTTCTCTTGTTTTCCAGGTTCTCAAGCATAGAGAAGATCAGATAAATGCCCCCACTCTATCTCGTTCACAGAGGCAAAGGAACACACTATCTCCCCCTCTCAGCCTTCCCAGTGAGTCTCCCCAACGCCTGTGCCACCTCTCAGAACCTGATCCACTATTTCAGACAACTTTCTGCTGTCTGCTCCCTCACCTAACACCTGGTAGAGCCCAGAGCTAGCAAGACAATGCAGCACCTTCCTGCTGTTGAAAACCAGAGCCAACTAATCCCTCTGCTGGGGAACATCACTCTTCCCCAGTGAGGGGAAGCACAGCGGAGAGTATATTTAAGGCAGAGAGCCTGTGCCAAGCATGATAAAAAGACATTTACTGGGACTTCCCTGGTGGTCCAGTAGATAAGAGTCCATCTGCCAATGTAGGGGACACAGGTTTGATTCCTGGTCCGGGAAGATTTCACATGTCATGGGCCAACTAAGGAGAGCACTGCAACTACTGAAGCCCTAGAGTCCATGCTCCTCAACAAAAGAAGCTGCCGCAGTGCAATGAGAGAGCAGCCCTCTGCTCATCGCAACTAGAGAAAGCCAGCACATAGCCGTGACGACCCGGTGCAGCCAAAAGTAAAATAAATTTTAAAAAGGCATTTGCTGGGGAGGAGTCTGGAGGCCCAGAGAAATCAAGGCATCTCTAGAGTTCTCCCCCAGGAGCTCTTCAGATTGCTGATGACAGAACTACGGGCTCCCGCATGTTCTTCCTTCCCATGCAGCTTCACAGCTAAGATGCCCAATGCCTTGCCCACACAATATCCCAAGGAAGCCCAGATCTCCTGGGGGAAGCAGCCTTATCTTGATCAGACATGGAGACTAGGACATTTTAATTTCAGTTTCTTTCAGATTAAAATAAAGGTAACTGGGCTGAATACTGCTGCACTGAGAGCTATTTAAACCTCTAACGCTGTGACACCAATGAAATGCAAGTGCACAGGACAATGTGACTCACGGGCGACTTTCTGTCCAGCCCGGCCATGTGGGCAGCCTCCTGGTACCACGATGCCTTTCAGCCATCCGCTGCTGGCCTCCCTGTGTGTGGGAATCAGGCGGAGATAAGCAACGAGCCTTTTGAGGGTAAAATGTGCTCACAGGCTGGAAGTGGTGCCAGTGAAAGGAGTGTTATGGAGACTCTCTGTGGTGCTCTGAGCCGTTCTGGCTTCCCACAGAGGCCACAGCACAGCGCTGAGCCATGCTCCATGAGGCTGAGCCAAGAAAGGAATGGAAGGGAAGAGTCCCCTTGGAACAGGATCCTGCCAGCTGCCTGGAAGGCCACCTGACTTTTCTGCAAGAGAAGCCTCTTTCTGCAATGGTAAAGATCTCCAAGTTGGGGTTGGTCCAGGGCTGAGAAGACCGGGATGGAATGCCTGAAGAGGGGACAAGCCAAGCTGGCATTCTTATTAGAAAGGTGTTTACTTGGTCATCGGCCATGATGAGTCCCTTCTTATCTTCTGCCCCTCCCCGGCTTCCCCTGCCTGCCCTCCCTCCACACCCCACATCTGAGTTGTCTCTTAGGGAAGAATGGGAAGACTCCTCTCTGCTCTTAGAACTATCCTGTTGTTTTGTTTAGCTGCTCCTTTTAGCCAATTGCAAGGCCCTAACTCATTTCATGGAGGCAAAAATGTTTTACTCCATGGTCATAAACCTGAATTTAAAATCCTTCTTGTGGGTGTAATCTTAAAAAAATAAAAGTGAGGGTAACATAAATGCAGATGTGCTCTGAGAACCCGAATGGAGTCACGGAGCTAACGCACTATTAAAAGAGAAGCAGAGAGAAGGAGACGCCTGAAGGAAATTCAGGGCAGAAAGCTCTCATTTCTTCTTTTTCTTGGCCACACTACGCAGCATGTGAGACCTTTTTTCCCTGATCAGGTATCAAACCCTTGCCTTTGTGCTGGAAGCTCGGAGTCTTAACCACTGCACTACCAGGGAAGTCCCAGGAAGCTCTCATTTATTTTTTTAAGCTCTCATTTCTTAATCTTTGAACAATGGGTGCAGGAAAGCCTAACTCTGATAGAGGGTAACCAGGGGAGAAAAACCTCTAAGCCAAAGAGATTCTCTGCCTCAAATACTTTAGGACTGTAAAAGAGGAGAAAAGGAGTCTGAACCCCTGCTTCAAGGAAGGTGGTGCTGAAAAGCTGGCCTCTTCTGATTCATTATGAAACAGAGATGTCCCCATGGACATTAAGCTGTCAGTCTGACACCAAGCCATACATGAATGGAATCATCAATAACCCTTTTTGGAAATTGTGTTGAGAACACAAATCAAGATGTGTCTCTGGAAAGGAGCAAAGAAGAGTGAGGCTAGAGATGAAGACGGAGATGGTCATCGGCCATGATGAGTCCCTTCTTATCTTCTGCCCCTCCCTGGCTTCCCCTGCCTGCCCTCCCTCCACACCCCACATCTGAGTTGTCTCTTAGGGAAGAATGGGAAGACTCCTCTCTGCTCTTAGAACTATCCTGTTGTTTTGTTTAGCTGCTCCTTTTAGCCAATTGCAAGGCCCTAACTCATTTCATGGAGGCAAAAATGTTTTACTCCATGGTCATAAACCTGAATTTAAAATCCTTCTTGTGGGTGTAATCTTAAAAAAATAAAAGTGAGGGTAACATAAATGCAGATGTGCTCTGAGAACCCGAATGGAGTCACGGAGCTAACGCACTATTAAAAGAGAAGCAGAGAGAAGGAGACGCCTGAAGGAAATTCAGGGCAGAAAGCTCTCATTTCTTCTTTTTCTTGGCCACACTACGCAGCATGTGAGACCTTTTTTCCCTGATCAGGTATCAAACCCTTGCCTTTGTGCTGGAAGCTTGGAGTCTTAACCACTGCACTACCAGGGAAGTCCCAGGAAGCTCTCATTTATTTTTTTAAGCTCTCATTTCTTAATCTTTGAACAATGGGTGCAGGAAAGCCTAACTCTGATAGAGGGTAACCAGGGGAGAAAAACCTCTAAGCCAAAGAGATTCTCTGCCTCAAATACTTTAGGACTGTAAAAGAGGAGAAAAGGAGTCTGAACCCCTGCTTCAAGGAAGGTGGTGCTGAAAAGCTGGCCTCTTCTGATTCATTATGAAACAGAGATGTCCCCATGGACATAAAGCTGTCAGCCTGACACCAAGTCATACATGAATAGAATCATCAATAACCCTTTTTGGAAATTGTGTTGAGAACACAAATCAAGATGTGTCTCTGGAAAGGAGCAAAGAAGAGTGAGGCTAGAGATGAAGACGGAGACGCTGAGCCTCTTAGAAGGTGTGTGCTGCTATAACTATGCATACGCTGGGCAGAGCCCTTCTTACGCTTGGGTGCTCTTTCCAGAACAATCATAAAGTGACAGAGTACCAAACTGTACACCAGGAGTTAGCTCAGCGTGTGATTCTGACCATCCAGCTGGATCAGACTCTGAGTGACACAGAGTCAAAACCTGGCTGACCGTTAAAGACAGAAGTTTAAAAAAACATTTCTCTCTCTACACATCAAATGGCAAATCTACATGTTTGGGGTTAACCTAGCTACCACAGAATCTGCTCTTCATGGAGGCAGGGGAGGCACAGTGGAGGTAAGAGATCTGCAGAAAACAGACAACCCAGGAAAAGGAACTAGTAATTCTGTATAATAAGAACAACTGCAAGACGATGCCATGTCCAGAATTAAGCCTTCTCTGCATCTCTCTGAGAGAAATTACCTCTTTGATTTAAATAAATATAACACTGAAACTCATGCTTCCACATTATCTTTGCTATATGGCAGTGAAGCAATAAGACTTCAGTGAAAGTGAAGTTGCTCAATCATGTCTGACCCTTTGCAACCCCATGGACTACAGCCTACCAGGTTCCTCTGTCCATGGAATTTTCCAGGCAAGAGTACTGGAGTGGCTTGCCATTTCCTTCTCCAGGGGATCTTCCCAACCCAGGGGTTGAACCCAGGTCTCCCGCACTGCAGGCAGATTCTTTACCATCTGAGCCACCAGGGAAGCCCTAATAAGACTTATAAGTATTAAAAACAATTCAGAACGTATTAAGCAACAATAACATTTTCCAGTAGCCTTAGCACAACACTGTCCATTCTTGTGATCCTTTTTGTTTTTTAGGGCTTTCCACTTTCCATTCAAGCCTTTCTCTTAAGAGTTCAATCTTCATCCAGGGTACACATTCCTCTATGAATTCAATTTAAAAGATAAAAGAACAAAATATTTATCATTGGCCTAATTTCCAATTCCATTTTGTTCCAGCCTATTATCTTTGCAGTCATAGTTCTACCTGGCGGTTTCAGAGCTTTCACTTTGAGAATAAAGTCAAAATCCACCTCACCTTGGATGCTCGAAAAGAGAAGGCTGTTGACTTGGTGTCTGACTTTCCCCGGTCTTGCAGAATAAGGCCTTGGTCTTCTGTCAAGGCCAAGTAGTGGCCTGTGGTGAGATGCCGGAGTCGGAAAGCCTGTCCCCATCTGATGTTACTGCCACTCCAGCTGGACAGATGAGAGAAGAAATTGCATTTACACAAAAAATAGGTCTTTTTAATATTTATCCTGAACATTTTCACATATGCTCTGACTCAGTACTCTTCTAAAGTACATCCCCTGACTCCTGGCTTGCTCTAGGACTGTGTATCTGCCTACAACTCATCACTTCTCAGTCTTCTGGCTAAGTTCAAGTGTCTGTCTACAACTCAGCGTGGCATTCTCTCGTGAGCTCTCTTCTAACCTTTAAGATCACCAACAAGGAACATGGTCCTGTGGGCAGGTCCATGGTTTAATGTAACTGGAAGTTCCAAGCTTCCAAATTTTCCTTCATTTCACTGAAATGTCTTGATGCTAAAAATCACACACAAAAATGAGAAGCCCGCTTTGGAAGAGAAACCTGTTTCTGGAAAAGTGAAGCATTTCCAAATGCACGATCTCCACTCAAGTATTTCATTACCACCACTAATTTGAAAAGACATACACACCCCTACGCTCACTGCAGCATTATTTGCAATAGCCAAGATATAGGAGCAACCTAAGTGTTCATCAATAAAAAAAAATGTGGCATATATGCATACACAGTGGAGTAGTACTCAGCCATAAAAAAGAATGAAATTGTGCCATTTGTGACAACATGGATGGATCTTGAGGGTACTAAGTGAAATAAATCAGAGTCAGACAAATGCCATATGATTTCACTCACATGTGGTATCTGAAAAACAAAACAACACAAAATTCACAAAGACAGAGAATAGATTGGTGGTTGTCAGAGAGGAGGCAAGTTGGAGAGTTGGGAGAAATGGTCAAAGGGGATCAAGAGGTACAAACTTCTAGTTATAAATAAGTCATGGGGATGTATGTAACGTAGAGCATGGTAGTAATATGTATATTATATAACATATAGTCAATAATATATTATTTATATAGTAATAGTAATATATATATTATTGACTATCATCACAATTTGAAAGTTGCTAAGAAAGTAAGTCTTAAGAGCTCTTATTGCTAGAAAAATTGCAATTCTGTAATGGTGACATATAATAACTAAACTTACTTCAGTAATCATTTTGCAATGTAAACAAATGTCAAATCATTATACTGTACACCTAAAACTAATATAATACTGTATGTCAATCCTACTTTAATAATGAAAAGAATCCTCTCTTCAAAAGAAATAAGAATATTTATGCAGTTTACACTCACCAGAGAGAGACAAATAATAAACAAAGAAACATAAATAAGTAAATATTGTGGCATGTTACAAGATGTTAAATTCCATGGAAAAAAGTAAAGCAGAATAAGATGATTGAGATAAGTGAGAGTCCATGCTGAACCCGTTGTAGAACCATATGGTCCTACATCAAAAGGCTGGCATTCAACAAAAGTCATGGTAAGTGCTAGGGCAGAAATTATTCACTGAATAATCTGTATCTAATTATCTTTTAAGTTAGAACAAAATGTTTCAGAAATACATGTATCAATTTTTAAAATGACTCTCCTCTTGATCTAATTCTTTGGAGTACCAAAGAATCAAATTACATTAATAGAAGCCTTAAATTCTTCATGTTTAAGACTCTGGGGAAATAAAGAACCCTAACTGGAACTATGTATACATATTTTTTATTTTTTAAAAAGTTCATTAAACAAGAACCAAGCCCTAATATCTTGAAAGAAAAAAAAAAAAACAGAGTATGTTGCTATAAAAACTTCACCAGGCTTGAAAGAATATAAATGCCACAAGCCAGCTAACAAGTGGGTACTCCTTAGGACACCATACTCTTTCAGTCTGCCTCTTCTAGAGTTCCTCAATAAAAAAATTTGAATGTAGCTGTATGCGTGTGTAAGAGAAATTCTGATATTTTCTCCTGATCACCAATGGATTATCTTGAGGACCCCCTGGAGGCTCCCCCACCCACTAGAGATTTTATTTTGAACATGTGTTCAGGGAGAGACGGAATATAGAGCTAGAGGGAAAGGCAGTGAAAGAAAACCAAAAGTGGCCACAATGACCCTCCGCTCTTACTCCGAGCAGCTTAGCTTTAGCCTAACTTGTGATCCCTCTCAGCAAAATAAAGGTCCAGAGCGTAACTGAACTCCTCTGAAGTAGAGATGCCGTGTTTTTACTCAACTACCTGTCTCCAAAGTCTTGGTGTCCTGTTCCTTCCATCCAATTGTTTCTGACAAGTCTGGTAAAGACAGTTTCCTTCAGAGCTACATGTCCGGTAATGTTTCAGTCTTCCCTACCTCATGCCATCACAGCCACCACTCTGTCAATTAAAGCTAACTTGCTTTGGAGCCCACAAGGCTATCAGGAGGAGGAAGACTCACCTGGGTTCCAGGGAATCTATTTAAGAAAATAAATGGGAGAAGAGCTTTGATGGCTTTCAGTGACAGGTCTATGCTTGCCTTTTATAACATAGACACTGCAAGGGTAGCAGGAGCTGGGGGCTTGATCAAGCAATAGAGCCTGCTTACTTCAGAGTCAAAGCAGAAGTCTTGGAAATCGTGTGTGTGTGTGTGTGTGTGTGTGTGTGCACGCGCGCGCTTTAAAAGCAAAAACAAAAGTCACAGACATTTCAGAATTTACTTTGCCAAGTAACTTCTGAGAGTTTGCCGGCTAATGTAGAACAAATGAACATTTAAGACAATAGGTTGTCCTGGAAAAAAAAATAATCTTGCTCCACTACCTTATCCGAAGGGGTTCCACTCTCCATAGCGATCTGGCTCTTGTGCCAGCTCCCCCGGCTTCATAGTATATCCTCCTGTGAACAGAGGTGGAGATTAGATCCTCCGTGCGTGATGCTGATCAGCACTGGGCAGAGGACAGTTCCCTGCACACGCTGCTCAGAACACGCTGTATTTCTCGGGACTGACAGTAAGCAAAATGAGAAACAAGACTCAAAGAAAGACACAATATCCTATTCTCTCTTAAAAGGGAAAAAAAGGTGATAAAGGGGAGGGAAATGCTCCCCACATACACGTTATGGATATGCACACACTGTTGGGTGTACGGTGAAAGGACTGTCTCCATTTTGACATCAGGAGTCAAAACAGTCCAGTCACATATCATCAGACCAAGTACTGAATGCTCCGTTTCTTTCACGTTCAGCTCCCTGATGCAGTTTCACATCTTTAGAAAATGTATTTGTACTTGTAAAACACATATGCAGTACAGTGTGAACTCATTTCCATTGTTCTAGGAAGCTGGGAACAAAGCTTTATGCTCAGCTACTGTAGTGTTCAGGGTTTTATTACTATACTGTTGTCCCCTTTCCTGCATTAATGGTCATCTTTTAAAGTGTTTTTAACTAAAATTTTTTATTTTGGAATAACTGTAGACTTATAAAAATGTTGCAAAGATAGTCCAGAAAGCTTCTGTAAAGTCTCACTCTGTTTCCTTTATAGTTATCCTCTTATAATACTAAGTAGAGTTGTCAGAACTAAGAAATCAACATTGGCTCATCATTGCTAATTAAACTCAAGACTTTATTTAGATTTTACCAGTTTTTCTATTAATTTTGTTTTCTGTTCCAGGGTCCCATCCTGTATGCCACATTGCATTTAGTTAATATGCTTTCCCTGTTTCTTTTGGTCTGTTAGAGTTTCTTAGTATTTTCTTATTTTTCATGCCTTTGCCAGGTTTGAAGAGTATAGGTCAGGCTTTTTGTAAAAATGGGTTTGTCTAATGTTCATTGGAAGGACTGATGCTGAAGCTGAAACTCCATTACTTTGGTTACCTCATGTGAAGAGCTGACTCATTGAAAAAGACCCTGATGCTGGAAGAGATTGAAGGCAGGACGAGAAGGGGATGACAGAGGATGAGATGGCTGGATGGCATCACCGACTCGATGGACATGAGTTTGAGTAAACTCCGGGAGTTGGTGATGGACAGGGAGGCCTGGCATGCTGTGATTCATGGGGTCGCAAAGAGTCGGACACGACTGAGTGACTGAACTGAACTGAATGTATATATGATGATTAGCAAAGTCTATTTTTTAAAAATCTGTACAATAGGGACTAACTCATCTATATCAGATTATGAGGAATTAAATGAACTATCCTCGTTTACAGGTATGTCTCATGAATAGCGGTCCCTGATTACCAGGCATACTGAATTCAGATACTTTCTGAGAATCCTGTGACTTTAGATCAAGACTGATCATTTAACTTCATTTAATTTCACTAATTTAAAAAGATACCTCTATTGTAGAAGGTTTGAATGTATCACTACTGAATTACTCAAACCCCAGGAGAATCTTGACCTACGTCTTGAGACAACAGTTTATTAACAGAGGGAAAGAGGAAATGTGCGGTAATTATTTCTTTCTCCCAGGAAGTAATTATGAGTTGGTTACAAATATTAATTTTGGGTGTCAGGTAGACCTGAATTTGAAGCTATTAGCTGTATCACTTTGCCAAGTTCTTTCAAATCTGTGCATCAGCTTCCTTGTCTGTAAAATGAACCTAATAGGGTATTTAGGTCACAGAATGGTTGTGAGCATTTAATGTGGTTTCTTTAAAGTAATGAACATGTACAAAGATGTTTATGGATGTATAAAATATTGTGTACTGTTGATTTATCCAAATTTTGTTTATAGACACTTATAAACATGCATGGAAAGCTACATTACATGGCACAAAAATATAATAAAACACTAACATCAATCACAGTTAACTTTGGTTGGTAGGATTATAGAAGACATTCTAAACTTTTTGCAAATGTACATACTATCAGGAAATATGTAGTAAGTATTTAGAAGGAAGCTCTAGCACCCCAGGTGTCTCTGTGCCAGGCCCAGAGTAGTAATGAGGCTGCACTGACCTAGCCCCACAGGCTAGGTGAGATTTTCATGGATGCTTCTCCATCCTCAGTGAGAGCAAAAGGGTCTCTCAGGTAGAGAGGGTGGAGCAGGTCACCTTAGATCACATGACTTGAGGACTCTCTCCCTGTGACATCTAAAGAATTCTAGAAGGTTAGTTCTTCCCATCTAGCAAAAGGAGGCAGCTTGCTCCAGTGAATCCTGCAAGGTTACAGAGGTTGAAACAACTTGTTCCCATTCTCTAAAACAATTACCCCAGGAGAGGAGGTGAGTGGGTGGGGAACTGAGGTGCTCTGAAAGCGTGGCTGACAGCTCAGCCTTGGCTTCAGCAAGTGACTTACCCCAGGGTACTTGACAAGCCCGAGGCAGAGCCAAGGATCAGAGCTCAGAATGTCAGATTATCCTTTTGGCTTTGCACCCTGGGACAGTCAGCCTCCCTCTCGGGCCTGGCTGCTCTCAGGCTTTACAAGGAATACAAGTGATTTCCTCTGGAAAGTCAACCCCATTACAGTGGAATCACTTGCATGCTTTCTTGGCTGTGGGGACCTCCTAGAATATTCTCAATTTCCTATTTCTTTGTGCTCTCCCACATTTTGATATTCCTGGCCATCCTGGCCCATTCTGGGGATTTATCTGATGACTGACAATGATGAAGCTTATCACTTACCTCACAAGGACATCAAATAATGCCAAAGCATCCTGTGTTGAATGAGAGACCAGTGACTATAAAGATCCAAGTTCTAGTACAAGGAGCCAGTCTCAACCCTTTCATGCTTCCTTACAAAGGAAAGGAATAGCCTTTTATTTTTATCTATTTCTTTTATTCCAAAATACAAATTAGCTCACATGAAATCCTCAGTCAAAGGAAAGCTACCTTTACTCTTAATTCAATGATGGCATGCATGCCTGGCTCGGGGGCCCATTCTGGGAATTCCTCTCCCCAGCATCTTCTTTCAAATTCTTGTCCAAACTTTCCTTTGGGTCAGGATCTTGTTGAACCACTCAACAGGAATGCCCAGAAAATGACAAGCTTCTCCAAGCAGCACAGTTTCCGCCTGGGCTGCTTCTAATTTCATTCTAAATGTAATGACATGTGTGTGTGTGTGTGTGTGTGTGTGTGCGTGTGTGCGTGTGTGTGTGTCTGCGTGTACACGCATGCATGCATGTGGAGGTGGGAGAGTGGGGTAAAGGGCCATGTACAGGTTATTTTAATTTTTTCCAAATAACTTTCCTTAAAAAAGAATAGGAATGAAAAAAAAAAAAAGAAAAGGAATGGAAAGAAAGAACTAGTGAGTTCCAGTGTGTTCCATCTTAGATGTAGATAACTCTGCACAACCTACTCACAAAATTTCAATTCTGTATCCACCTGCAAGCCTTCCCGTTAATGCAGCAGAATAAGATATTACAGAGACAGCATTTGGGCTACTGCACAATCTTACAGTTTAAAAATACGGAAAAGAAAATCGCACCTGAATAGGAGCATATAACGTCATTTAGCATAGGGAATCTTAAATTCCAAGGGACATCAACTCAGCCTCTTTTCTACTCAGAGATAACTGTGAGCCATGGGGCCAGAATTAATCAGGCACTTGCCAGAGGTCTGTGCTTTATGTGTCCTAGACACCATTCTGGGTCACATCTGGTTCCCAGGAAGGGACACACAGAGGACCGAGTGAGTAGGGAGAGGCTCAGAACAACAGACATCGCCAATGGATGGGCTTCCCTGGTAGCTCAGACAGTGAAGTATTCACCTGCAATGCAGGAAACCTGGGTTCGATCCCTGGGTTGGAAACATCCCCTAGAGGAGGGCCTGGCAACCCACTCCAGTATTCTTGCCTGGAGAATCTGCATGGACAGAGGAGCCTGGGATCGGCAAAAAGTCAGACATGACTAAGCTACTAAGCACAGCACAGCATTGCCAACAGATAGTTTCTAAGAGGTACAATAACACACTCAAGCACAGTACTCCTGAGTGTCATTTAGGACATGAAATAAGGAAGGAGCCCTGGCTAGAGAGTTAGCATCTCCGGTTTTCAGGGTTCCAACTGAAATCATCCACTGTGTGACCTTTGGCAGAAGCCTGAGTTAGATGGTTTCTAACATCTGTAGATGTGATCCTATGTTTCTAGCAAAGTAAAGAAATGCAGTTAATGAGGTTCCCACAGGTGTCATGCAAACACAAAGGACATATTAGACAACTGGGAGATCAGACTCTGTTGTCTCAAGTGAAAAAGTGAAAGCCGCTCAGTCGTGTCTGACTCTTTGTGACCCCGTGGACTATACAGTCCATGGAATTCTCCAGGCCAGAATACTGGAGTGGGTAGCCTTTCCCTTCTCCAGGGGATCTTCCCCACCCAGGGATCGACCCCAGGTCTCCCGCATTGCAGGCGGATTCTTTACCAGCTAGCTGAGTCATAAGGGAAGGCCAAGAATACAGGAGTGGGTGGCCTATCACTTCTTTAGCGGATTTTCCTGACCCAGGAATGGAACTGGGGTCTCCGGCGTTGCAGGTGGATTTGTTGCTGTATCAAGTTCAGTTTAATTTGGATCTGAGACTTGAGTTTTTAAAATATATCAGGGTTTTACAATTACAGGGGCCAAGTTTTTATGCTCTGTTCCTCTGTATATAAACCAAATACAAAAGGATGCTTCAGCATGAAGTTAAGATCTAGATTAACATCTTCCATCTCCTGACTTTGAATTCTGGAAAAGCATCCACTGAGAGGATAACTAGAGGACCAGAGGAAGCACCATCCCCAGCAGCTCCCTCGGCACACTCCCTTCGGCACTGTCCTCTGCTAAATCCAGCTCTGCCTGGATACTGACATTTGACTTCTCCAATCCTATTTGGTGATAAGCAGGATGAAACCACTGGACCCCACCTTGATAGCACATAAAAGGGGGGAGTAACAGAGATGATCTACCTTTGGAGAACCTGGTGAATAATTTATGTAAGTGCACAGACTCACTAGAATGATTACCCTGACTTCCATCACCAAAATGGGGGCTTTGGTCTGCAATTAAAGCTACCAGAAAGTCCTTAGATTCCAGGACTAAAACCAAAGAAAACAATGGGATTGAAAAGCATCATGGAATTGTTTGCCTAAGAAGCAGCATGTGTACATAGCTATTCCTGTGAGCAAACTTGAGCATACTGCCTTTCCTATTTCACAACTGCAACCCACAACTGGACAGAAGTTTGTCAGTTAACCAACACTTACAGAATTCATTGGTGGACATATCCAAATGCAAAATTGTTAGTCTGAGTCACTGGAGGCAGGAGACAAGAGAAGGAGGAAGCTCTTGGCTTACCTGTGCTGGGAATCATTCTGGTCTGTAGATGGTATCGTCAAACACTCATCATGACCATGGAAAAGACGTACTACATGCCCACCAAGTAGGTATCCTGTAACAGAATTATACCCTACCATGAACTGAAAGGAAGCTGAATAATGAGAACATATTTGAGTCAGTTATTTTAGAAAACACAAAGAGAGAAGCATTTGGGAAATGATAGATTCCACGAGTTCAGGCCCCAGGTAGAAAATCGACAAGAAAGTCAAACCAATTCTAACACTGAAAGTTAAATAGGGTTTCAGAGATGAGCAAGTCCAGTATCAAAAGGGAAGGTGAAAGCAATGTCAATTCATGTCATTAAAAGCCAAAAGGTCACCTGTAACTAATACAATGTATATCAACTATGCCTCAATAAAATAATACAACATTAAAAAAAATACACATACAGACACAACCAAAAGGAAATCTGAGTTTCTATTCTTAGGAAGATAAGGATTCTCCAATTGTCAAGGACATGAATACATCCAACACCAAGTTTCTAGATAAGCTCTTACAATGTTGATGTGTATATTTTGTGGTAAGTCTCAAATCAAATTGCAGTCATGAGAAAGTAAGATGATACTGGGAAAGGAGAAGCAAACTGTTATTCTGAGCTTTCTTAGGAGTAGCTAATTTTCGAATGTGTTAAATAAACACAGATCAAACCTGAATGCTATTCCAACACCAAGAGAAGGCAGCATGACATTCCAGAATCCCTGAGTGGCCAAGCAGAGAGGCAGCTATCACCTAGCCCTTAGCTTTCACAAAAAGGAAAGGAATCTCAATAGCCATGGAGTTTAGAGATGGATAGGAAACAATGAACTTCAAGGACATGACGACAAATTAGTCTTCAAATAAACTGCAAGTCTCCATTTAAAAAACATGGTTAGCAGGAGAAGGGCCCCAGTATGAACTTTAGTTTACATGAAGAAATGGAATTTGACATTCCTTTGAATTAAAAATTTCTCCCAGCTAGTCTGTTCTCAGGAGACATATGGACTTAATATGTTCAATGTCTGTATCAGGATTTTGAGAAAATCACATAATTAGATCACTCAAGGGGCTGTGAAACTATTTTAAGTGTTGGATTATAACAGTAAGAAGGAGAAGTCATGCCAGGGGAGAAAAGGGTGTTATCAATACATCTTATGCAGGGATAGTCTTGATATTCCCTAGTTCATTTTCCCCATCTGTCCAGGTAAGGCAAGTTCTTCTTAAGCTTCCCTGAAATGTTTAGAAGTCATTTTCTCATTTTCTTCTCTTTTACTGTACAAATATTTACAATTGTATACTTTTTTGCATTAAAATAATCCATGATATACTGTAGGGGAACTGTTAACAGCCAGCTTATTTAGAAAGTTAACCCCTTCCATGATCACGTTCTTGATTAAATGATCTATCATCTTATGACGGCACAGCCACGCTCCATTTGCAGCCCATCACTTACAGTCCCCAGGCTTCTCCAATCAATATTCTACGGCACAGAGGAAACTGCCAAACGCTGGTGCATCACAACATTTCTTAATTGAGATATACCAGGGCAATAATCAGGAGAGAAGGCTCATGAGGAGGATCACTCCTTTTCTCAGGGGCTGAAGTGGGTTTCTCACCAGCAGATGCTGAGAGAGCATTCTGCACAGAGTCAGATGACGCAAGGGATCAGCTGCCCAAGCTCTACCACAAGCAAGGGCTCTCAATCCTTTTAAAAGCATTGTTGTGAAATGATTCGAAATTAATTATTCTCCACAAACCCTCTTGTGGGACTGAGGGTTTGTGGAATACTATTAGTATTAGGGATACTAATACTATCCCTATAGTGGAAATGAACAAAATTAACATGAAGATTCGGTCAGAACTTCCTCAGGGGAGATTTTAACCTGGGATTCCTTGGTTCCTGAGAGAAAGGGAATGACTGACAAAACATTTGGAGCAGTGGGTGAATTCTGGTGTGAAAGAAGACAGCTGAACACACCCTGCCTTTGAAAAGCCTCCCTTCAGTTGCCAAAAGAGTTAAAAATTTGCTGCTTCCTGATTATTCAAGTTAGCTGTGATGCCTCCTGAAACTGGGGTATCACCTTGACAACTCTCAGTTTTCCATTTTCCAACATCATCTAATAGAAAGAGGTTTCACAGACTCAAGATTTAAAATAGGGTTAGAACCTGTGATATGAGTATTTAAAAAAAATTCTGATCTGGCTATAAAGCGCTAGAATGTGATGCGATAACCCTTAGGTCACTGGCATCTGATTATCCTACTCAGCAGTGATATTACCCATGAGTAAAGTAAGGCCAGTGTATTTATTATATAACTTGAAAGGTGTTATTGACTTTGCCTAGCTCCAAAAAATAAAATATGCTGAACAAACTTTGATGATCTGACTTCTAAGGGAAAAATAAAATATGGAGAAAATGCTGTTTGTTATTTTTAAATGGCCTTCCATAAATATAAGTAAAAACAAATGGCCAAACATCCTTTTATTATAGAGAAAGTCCTCCTCCTGCCTGTCGGGAGAGATACATTGGGGAGAAATATAAAAAATATCAACTTCTTGGCAAATAATGTCTTCTAAAATTGAACCTGCTAAGGTCTGTATACTTATAACCATAAATAAAACTGAAAAGTCAGCGGGAGAAGAAAGGTAAGTCTCCAAGGTCCTGAATGCACACAGTGCCAAAACCATGGTGCATTGAAAGAATTGAAAAATCATGTCAGAAGTGCTCATGAAATCAGAAATCAGGACAGGAAATAATCCATATTAACATGTGAGAAAGGAACTCGGGTGAACCAAAAATCACACTAAGTGGATACTGAGGCACTCATGCCAGAACTGGAAAGTCACAAAAAAGGTCAATATACATAGCATAAGACAAACAGGCAGACTGAGAGCGGAACACACAGAAAGAAGCACACCTTCTTCAACGCTACTTCCTGAGCACGTAGGATGTACATTCCAGAGTGTCTGCATAAAGGAGGCATCCACTTGTATGTTACCATTTGATATTGAGAGATGCTGCAGCAGAAACAGAAATGAGACATCCTTTAAATCACCAGGCCAGTCCTGACAGAAGCAGCTCACCTAGAATTTCAAGGATTGAATTAAACAGCTTTACTCTCATCAGGCATTTTCTACCTAGACTGTGGGAGACTGCTCCACCCCATCTCGAAGCAGCTTCAAAGTGGGACACTTTTTTCAGGGAGGGTGAGGATTCAGCTACAGAGGTGGCAGACATGCTGACTTCATCCCCGCAGCTGGATCTCAAATTCAACAGGAAGTTACAAAATATCTATCCTTGGCAGGAGAAGGGGACTTACAAATGGGAAAAATTAATCCAGCCTTTGGTTGAGGCAAAGTAAAATCTGCTGGCAGAACTGGTGCCGAGAAGCTTAAAAACTTATCTCTGACATTCCTCTGATCTGTAAGGAATTGCCCCCATCCCTTAAGGGCCTGATGTCAATGCTGCGTGACATCTTGTGTGGTATGCAAGTACCACTACCAGGGGCAATATTTCACCTGCCTCTTCCAACCACTGTGACATCCCACACTCTGAAACATGTCCAATTCTCTTTCTCCCTCCAATTATGTTTCTATATCCAACAGTTTCTGGCTTGTTCCTAATTAGACGAGAGCTAACCAAAGTGATAAGCTGAGCCCCTGGTGGCTCAGATGGTAGAGAATCTGCCTGCAGTGCAGGAGATCCGGGTTTGATCCCTACGTAAGGAAGATCCCCTGGAGAAGGGAGTGGCTACCCACTCCAGTATGCTTGCCTGGAAAATTCCATGGACAGAGGAGCCTGGCAGGTTACAGTCCATGGGGTCACAAAGAGTTGGAAGACTGAGTGACTAAGTTGACTCAGTTAACTGACTGAGTTGAAGACTGACTACTATTAAAGGTAACTAATGTGATGGACAGGGAGGCCTGGCATGCTGCGATTCATGAGGTCTCAAAGAGTCGGACACGACTGAGCGACTGAACTGAACGAGTCAATAGTTGACTTTTTAGGAAGTGCCTGGGAGCATTTAAGCTGGGAACAGTGCTTTAATCTAAAAATAAATAAATAAATAAAGTTACATTCCAGGCCCCATGATAATAGCAGGAGAGAGAATTTAATCGTATCTCAAGTACACTGTGTAAAGGTAGTCTTATCCTTCCCGATCTGATGTGGTTCTGTTCTCCCTGGCCATCCATTCCTAAAAGAAACAATTCTGGAAATGAAAGATGCTTGTGTTAGGAGATACTTACAAGGTATCTTTCAGAGGACACACTGACGAGGATGAGGTCATCACCAATTCGAACCTTTTCTCCCTCAGACCTCTGCTTGGAAGCGGGATGAATGGTCCACCAACAGGCTTCTCCTACACAAAGGCTCCTAGAGTTAGTGACTGCATCACAGAAGTCAGTGTCCCTAACTCTGCCCCTCATTCTCCTTCCTCCTGATGAGAACCCCTAAAACACACACACACACACGCATGCACGCACCCTCCAGACCTCAATTTCTATTTATCTATAAGCATTCCCCCACATCTGGCTCTTGAGTGTATTTATCATTTTCATTTTCTTTACAAACAGAAAGACAGTGTTTGGAGAAGAATACTGTAGCCCAAAAGCTATAGAAGTCTTTGAGTAATTTTAATACATACAAAAAATGATATTTTTTTTCACATGCACCTACAAATCTTTCAGAAATAACTTCACTGGTCTACTGACCACTTACAGACCATTATCTTTGCCTCACCCCTTCCCCATGAAATTCTCCTAAATCATCAGCAATTCCACTAACAAAAAATCAGAAGTTTTCAAAAGGTCTAGATATATAAGGTCTAAGACAGCAGGTGAGAAATTAATAGCAAAGGAGAAAAATTGATATTTTGGGAAAAGGGATGTTGAAAGATGCTTTTAGCCAAGACAAAGCTACAACTCCAGTCTCTGGGTAAGAAAATGGATTAAGAAGTTGATCCTAAGAAGTAAGGCCATTCCTGCTACACATTCTCCAGATACTCTGTAGAATTGGAGGCACAACCTCTGTGGAATTGTGAGGGCAACCACAGAAGATGGGGTTGAAAACAGGAGGAGTGGCTGAAAGTTTTAAGGGAACATTTGATCTTTTTCTCTATCCTGCAGGCCTGGTGACTTCCTCCTCCACTCTACAGAATAGAAGTGATATCCATGGAATGACAAACCACTCCAGGTATCAGACACTGTCAGACATGGAAAAAGAGTATCGCTGAAAATGGAGAATAATTAGAATTCTGTGCTCTGATTAGTAAAATCTCAGTTCCCTTTCCCCTACCTCCATTCCTCAGCTTCCAGAATGCCAGCTGTGATGCTGAACCACCCCTGACCCAAATGAAGATTACTGTTTAGTTTGGAAGCAAAAGTACCCAACAAAAACCACACTGTTGTTTGGGCATATCCAGTGCAATGTGTAGGTCCCTGCTAGACTATCCCAAAGTGAAACTTAAGACATGGCAAGCCACCCACACAGTTGGGGCTTCCTGTCGGCTTTTACTGCCTTGATCTAAACATCAACTGGGACAAAGGATAAGCTGACATGTAAGGAAAAGTGTCTAACATGAACAACAGGAACAAACCAAAAAGTGGGGAGAGGGGGAAAATGAAGATTACAGAGAGCGAAAGATAACTTCAAACAAATCTTAGAATTAATCATCTCAGAGACATAAGAAAAATAACATTCATGAAGCAGCTAGGAGAGTATCCATGAAGGGTCCCTTCAAAGAAAAAGAAATCTCTTTGATCCTGAAAAAGAGAGAAAGAAACAGGAAAGTTATAGGATAAAGTTGAAAAATTTTCCCACAATGACGAATGAAGAAAAGCAGATTGGAAACAAGACTGCAAAGAAAATTAGAAAACCGACCTAGAGGAGTTTCAGAAAGCAGTAAGAGAACATCAAGGGAGAACATTAACTAAGAGATATTTAACTTTTCTTAAGGCTGAAAGACAAACATTTTTAGAATGAAGGGGCCTGCAGAGTCCCTAGCACAGTGGAGAAGGGACACCACACACACACACCCCCCAGGGTCCACTCCTGTGACACTAAGAACAGGAAAGAAAGAAAGAAAAAAGAACAGGAAAGATCCAGGACAAGACAGAGCACTGTGGAACTGTAGACATCAGGGCAAGAAGGGAAGGTCCAGATAGCTCAGAAAATATAAACAGGTCACACACAAAGGATCAGGAAGCATAATGTGGACAGACGTCTCAACAGCCAGAGCAAAAGCTAGAAGAAAACAAAAAACCTTCAGGATGCTGAGGAAAAAAAAATTCCCATGGAGAATGCTTCTATGAATTACTTGGGAAGCTGAAATTAAGAAACTTTCAGACAACAATTTGTCTCCCAAGGATATTTTCTGTAAAAGCTACTGGAAATGGGCTCCCCCAAAATGGCGTGATCAACCAATAAGGGAGAAAAGCATGAGATCCCAGAAACACAGAATCTTGGAGAGAGGAAACAGGAATTTCCCACATGATGGTGTATGTTTCTAAGAAGATGAAACCAACAGAAGAGCTATTGTGACTGAATCTAATCAGGGACAGTTACTGTTCTATGGGACAGTTTGGAAATAAATGACTAGGTCACGGAAAGTAAAGCAACAAACAAGGCAATTATTAAGTAATGGAAAGCACAGAAGTAATACCATAAAGTGAACTGACCATAGTATATCATGAGTCTCATTTGCAAATAAAAGTTATAGTTACACCAATGTAAGTAGTTAATATTGATTTGGTAGTTATATAAAAAATAGGTGCAAATATACTAGGAGGGTGGAAGGAGAAAATAGAGAAGAGGGGAGCACAAGAGTAAATTTTTATTATTCATTTAGGACATCAATCTATCATGCCCAATCTGGAAAGAGTAACGAAAGGGCAGCAAACCATACGACTCATGCACAGTGGGAAACGCACCGGAGGAGCTGAAAGTGGATGCCTGAGAGAGGTGGGGATCCAGGACAGGCGGGGGCGGGGCAAGAGGTAGATGCTTCTGCTACGCAAAAGAGCGCTATGTCTCTTTTTAAACTATGTACAGGTATTACTTTGATTCACTTCAGATAAATAAATATAACACTGATTATACTTTAATTAGACTTAAAATTTTGTAACAGAAGAGGCTGTTCTCTACATTCGAGGAGGAAAATGACAGGTGTATATCCATCATTTGCACTGGACCACTCAGGGGGGCCAGGATGAAGGGGTCCTAAAGAGATGCATAGGAGAGGAGCACCTTTGCGCTCTCTCCCTCTCCTGGGAACAGGGCAGTGGTCTGGAGCCCAGGAATGAGCCAATCCCCAAGTCAGCAGGGTATGTGAGGGCCAGTTGAGGGTCCTAAATACCTAACAGTACTTTCAGTGGTTTTTTTCCCCCCACAATTTTAAACTGATCCTTAATCTATGTCTAGAAAACAACAACAAAAACTTTCGAAAGGAAAACAAGAAAGAACTTCTTAAGCAAAATCAAGTGCAAAATAGTCATCAGTTAAGTCAGTCAAATCATTTATTATCTGCTGTGCAGAGGAAACACTTTCAGAAATATTCAAGAAACTGCTTCCAAACTTCTCCTCACATTCTCCTAGAGATTCAACTCAACTATTTGTTTCAATTCAGAAGAGGCTTCTGAGTCAAAAGTGCACTCCCAGGATGACCTGGGTAAAAGAAGCAATGCTATTCTGTCAGTTCCTGAGCAACCCTTCTCTTAAAGAGAGAAACTCACCCCAGGCCATACTGAACTGTATCTGAGCTGCTGGAAACTTCTCCCCCTCCCCCACATATACCAAGCTGACTTTCTTCAAGGAGAATATGAAATGGGTCGGGGATGAGGAAGGTAAAATAAATTATTTTAGGCTACAGGTTTTCATGAACACCTGGTCAACCCTGTCCCCCTGTCTTTCTGCCAATGTCAGCTTCTGAAAAGCCAGCGTGAACCTGGGTTGATGCATGTGTTTCCCTCATCTGTTAGCAGAATTCATAACAAGTTTGATTTTAGGAATTTGGGGTAAAAAAAGTGGTAGAATGAGTAATATTCTCTGCTATTTCCCTATATTTTTATTGAAGGCTCTAGTAACTAAAAACAAAAACCAAAAAACAGGTTTCCTGAACATATGACTAGAAAGTGGTTATTTCTTAGATTTCTTCCCAAGTCTCAAAAAGTCTAAAGTCATTTTACTGGTATAAATAGTATGACCATATACGACTTTTCCGATTACGTGCTCCAAGACAGACAGCTGGTTTATATTTAGAGGTCAGCTTACACTCAGAATGTGTCAATTCACTCATTTTGCAATTTTTAGTAAAGGTTGACAACACTTTAGAGGAAATTATATTTTAAGAATAACACGAAAAAAAAAAAAAAGAATAACACGCTTTAGTTGAAAACAAAGTAACCTCAAATCATATTCAAGTATAATCTGATTTTAGTAAAACAAACACACGAAAAAAAACCCAAATCTCGTGGGCTGAGGCAGGCTCACTCTTCTGCTCTGTATAAAAAGGGGAAGAGGAGGAGAGGTAGGGGGCTTACCTCAGGTGTTCTTGGACATGACTGTGTATGATCCAGAAATAACAGATCCAGGGTAAACTCTAGATTCCTTCCCCCCAGATTAAATCTAGGTTAAACTCTAGATGTTTAAAAACAGGTTAAACTATAGATTTTTTTTTTCTAAATCATATGTAAAATCAGATAATCTTGGACCATCTCCTTATGAACTGCTGTAGTTTTAGAATAATTACATGGACTTTGTCCTTCTTTGGCCCCAACAATGGAACTCCCCTTCTATCTGGGGGAAAATGTCATAATATTAAAGACTGTCTCCAATGAGACTCTTCCTGCCGTGTGACCTAGGCTGTTTGCTCTTCCCTGGCCTTTCTTCCTGCCCAATATCTAAGCCCGGGGCTCAGCTTCAGAGCGCGTCTATGTAACATCCTTCTAGTAAACTCTCTTTCTGCTTGAGTTTACGGAGTCAGTTTCTGCTGTTTGCAACCAAGAATCCTGATTGGTCCATAAGCCCAACCTCTAAATGGAGCAGAAATTACACATGTAATGCCCTTGGCAGACAGATTGCTCATGAATATTTCCAGCCACAGGAAACATCTTCCATCTCGAGGCCAGCTGTGCCTTTGCTGGATACTGCAGATATTACAAAGTGGTTTCCTTCACTGAGATGAAATGGGCCTGTTTTCAACTTCTATCCATTGTTTCACTGGTCTTTGCAATAACCTACAGCAAGTCAGCCCCTTCTTTGATTAACTAGAAGCATTTGTTGACAGTTATCTTGGTCCTCTGTTCTTCATTTAAACCTGCATCATCCTGGTTACCATCTTTTTTAGGATCCACCACTTGACTGTCATTTTTGATCAAAAAAAAAAAATAGCCAGTATTTCCCATAGTATATGATGTATAGTGCTAGTGGTGGAGGGCAATTAAACAACACTGAGTCATATAGTGAGAAATTTCCCTTTACTGCTTTCAAAGCTTCTGATTCTAACAGAAGGTTTTCAATTTGGAGCTTGTATACCATGAACACTTTTCTAGTATTTACCAACATTCTCTAATTATTGAGTAACATGGTTTTCTTTACATTATATTCTTTTTTACAGCAAGCCATACCAGTTTTCTACTTTTAGCAATGATGTCAGTTTTGTTTACAAAATTTTAAATACAAAAGCAAATTTAAAGAAAAATATAAATTAATAATAAAGTTTATGCACAGGAATGGCAAATCTATGAAGGTGGATATCATTGACTAATATCTGGGAAACACTGCCTTAAAAATAACTGCAGATTAAAATGGGACTACTTTTTTAAAAATCTAGACTATACTTTATAATGTAAACCTTCATTATGCTTTTTTTTTAAAGCAGTTATTCATTACCATTGGTTTTTATCAGGAATAACTTCTCTACTTATTTTCAGTATCTAACCCTAAAAACTGTTTTTCTTTGAGACTCTGGTAGACTGTGGTTAAAGCCTCATGCTCACCTTTATTTTGCATTCCTATGTTTTCATTCTGCATTCCAATAATATTCTTTATTATTCTTCTCCAGAGTTCTATCAGACTTATTTCTTGACTAAGTTGGCTTGGAATCCCAAATGATTTGTATCCAGCCTCCTTCTCAAAAGCCCCCAGCTCATGATCCCACTGAGCAGCAGATCTAGGGCATGTTGACTTACCTGTGGCATGTTCCCGTAGACCTACATCAAAGGCAAGTTTATCCGTCTGGGATCTTGATGTGGTCAAACATGTTAGATACTGTGGAATAAGAGCAGATGCTAATGAAGTCTTACTCTTCTGTCGGATCTTGGCGTCTCACCATTAGCTGGCTTCTCAGTTTCAACACTGAGCTGCTATGAAAAGGGCTTCTTTATTGCTCATAGCTACAGTGCTTCTGGGATATATTTTCATAATGTACTTAAAACCTCAAAGATATTCTTATCTGATGACCCAGTGATTTGACTCATAGGACTATGAGAAATAAGTTTAAATAGAAAAAGTTTGAAATATGAAATATGCTTTAGTTCAAAGATACTCTGAAACCTTTAAACTGAGAATATGAATAGAACATAAAAGACCAACAATAATGGAAAGGTTGATAAACTCTGGTACTTCATTTTATGGAATATTATGTTACCATGGAGAGTATTTATCAAGAGTGTAGAACAGTATGGAATATATACAAAATAGTGTACTTGTATGGTTGTCACGTATGCAAAATCCAAATGCCTAGCAACCAGGCTAAAGGGAATTACACCAAGCTGATAGGTTGTCTTTGGACAGCAGGAACATCCATGATAATATCCTCCTTTCTATTTGTTTTCTGTTTTTCAGTTTTTCTATCAGTTTTAAAACTTCTCAAGTAATGTCTGATTTTTTCTAATTATAAAAATATATGTGCATGTAAAATTTAAAAACTATTTTCAAAAGTAACTTAACAAAGGAAAAAAGTCCACAGCCTATTCCCTGCCTCCTTTATTGACAGGCACGGCAAGTGGTCTTAGAATTAGACCGAGAGGCAGATACACATTTGGCACAAACTTCCTGAGTTATAATTCTAATTCTCTGCAACAGGAAAACACAGAATCATTGTGTTGTATAGACATCTCTCACGGGCTTTATTCTCAGAGCTACTCCTAAAAGGAACTGGCTAGTGTAGAGTTCATGTTAACTGTGAGTGGGATTTCTTGGGAGTAGAGGGCAACCAACTACTGATGAATAATGTAAACCTTCCTCTTTATAGGACAATGCTAGCCTGAGTTTTTAAAGCCAAGAGAAGTATACTGTTTGAGCTTTTATTTATTCTATTTAGGGATAAAAAGAGAAGTGCTAGGGTTTTATTTACCCTATGGAGAAGCACCAGATTCCTAAAGGTAAATGATCACCTCTCAGTTCTAGAGATTGCCAGGGTGCAAAATTTCCCTACTCTCTAACGGTCCCCATCTCCTGCTCAGATAACCTTCCATTTGGTCATTTTTGTTTGTCCTTTGCCACAAGGGACTATCACAGATGAATGTTCAGGCTGAAAAGGTCAACTTCTTACCAGTGTTCAGGAAAAAAAAATGCTGCAATAAATAAATTATTTAAGAAGCAGCTGCTGTTCTCCCTGCCAATTTGACAGTTCAAGCTTTGAGATGAATTCTGCAGTGTCCACTGCAGGTGTAAAACGTGTGAAAATAAAGTCCTGAGTAAACATAACAGTTTTCCACTGGGGTTAGAGAAAGAAATGTTCCTTACACTGATAGTAAGGGAGAATGATACATGTAGGAACTGGGGGTAAATATCATTAGAAATGCCTCATATTATACTTGACAGAGGTCACGATATTCCTCTTAACACTCCCTGCAAAAGAACTGCAATATTTGAATTTTACAAATTACATTTATTAAAACTTGAAAAAAATTGAAGTTATATTGAGTTATCTCATTTCAGTTAATTCGAGTTCTAGATCCCTGAATAGTTATAGCTTGATCTGCTTTCTGTGACTGCTCTGCTCTTTATCTGCCTCCTGCCTCTGGATTAACAAAATACCTTCAAATTCAGAAATGAAGGACCAGATATCATACTATTTCCTTTAGCTAGTAAAAGAGAAATTTCACAAAAATCCCATTTGATTGCTTTTCCACCTATGCTGGTTATCCTTACACATGCGAGTCATCAGTTATTCCAGGTTTATCTGATCATCCATTCAACAGATATTTTCTAAGCATTTAGTATATCAGAGCACCACACTTGGTCAAGTTAGGTTTAGTTACATCAATTTTTTTTAAAAAGACATAATCCTTTCCCTTATGGAGTGGGAAGGAGGGTGGTCAGATGTTAAGCAACCACAGATGTACAACTGCTGAGTGAGGAAAGTTGCTAAGACAGTAATGTACTGTAATTTCCACTCCGAGGGACTCCCGCTGATTTCTTAAGCTGACTGAGACGCTCGCTGGCATCCCACCCCTTCCCTCCTCGACCTCCTGGAGCGGTGCAAGCGGTCCAGGTGAGCTTACTTACCATGCCACTGAAGGAGTGCCGCAGGAGAATTGCGTGGCCATACAGCAGGGTCCTGTGGCCACCCCCTTGTGCTGCCTGTGGGGAAAGAGGGCAGGAAGTGTCAGCACGGGCCAGGCATGGCCACTCTGAGGGCAAAGCGTTCTTGGAGGACACACTACAAAGGAAAGACCCACGGCGAAGCTCCCGAGGAATTCATTCTAGAAGCGAGTGGCCAGCCTACAGGCGGGGGGCAACTGGTTGACCACAGCCATGCAACATCCTTGGGAGAGGGTGAGTGGGGCCAAACCTCTTCTCTAGAATGGCCCCTGCCCAGGATCAGCAGAAACCCAGAGCTGTTCTATCAGAAAAGCACGTGGATGAGATAGGTACCGCTTACCTTCCTTTGAAACTTCTCAGAAGCGTTCAGTGAGAGAGAGAAACAAATGTGATGTAACTACAGCCTAGTGACAGAAAGGCAGCGTAGGGGGTGGGGGGACGAGGCATACCATACACTCCGTCTGTGCCTTGTGGACTTTTTAAGGCACCTGTGTCTCCTACTCGCTCACTTAAATGGGTCTTATTTGCCCTCATTTCACCAGTGAGTGATGGCTCCGATATCTGGGTCTTTAAAAGGGTAACCAGTGATAGGGAATAGATACCTCCTCCAGTTAAGGGGCCATTAATGCCCCGTCTCTGCCCCACCAGCCAGCACCACTCTGGCTGTCCACTCAGCAGCAGTCTGAGCGGTGGGACCGGCCCAAGAAGAAGAGCCAGCCCCACATAAAGCCACTGGTGTCTGCCTCTTGCTTTTCCTTTTATTTGATTTGCACACCATGATCTGAACTGAACAGTATTGGCATATCATGTCATATCATTGGCATGTCTCCTATCGGAGACAAAACCATTATGCATTCCAGTGACAGGTGACCAGGTAACATGGAAAACTGAAATCTATAGAAGATTCTAGATTTTTTTTTTTTTTTTGGCATCAACATTTTCAACCTTTGACCCAAATCTCTCCCTGTCAAGTGAACTTGCCCTCAGAGGCAGTCACATTGTTTTTTGATCACACACTCCTTTTAGGAAAGAATATGTGAGCCTAGGTTCCCATCCCCAAATAATCACAAAAAGAGAGTTCAAAGCCTGAGATTAGAAATTAATATGGAGAGAGTAACATGGAAATTTACAATACCATATATAAAATAGACAGCCAATGGGAATCTGCTCTATGATTCAGGGAACTTAAACAGGGGCTCTGTGATAATCTAGAACGGTGGCATGAAGAGGGGGGTGGAAGGGAGGGAGAGGGCCTGGGTGTATCTATGGCTGATTCTTGCTGATGTTTGAAAGAAAACCATAAAATTCTGTAAAGCAATTATCCTTCAATTAAAAAAATTAACTGGAAAAAAAGAAAAAAATGTTGGCTAGCCAAGGTAGAATAAAAAAAATTAATCATAAAGAGAAATTCTAACATTTTCTTTCCATAAGCCAAGGGCACCTCTTATGCATGGTATGTTAGTCAGAGCCTCAGAGCAGCACCCCAAGGGCTGGTTGCAGGGTCTGCTCCTGTCCTGTGTTGACCTTCCTTTAGGGCCACAGACAATAAGGGGGGAAGAAGGCAGAGTACTTCTATTTCAACTCTATTCAGATTAAATTTGGATTAACAGAATCACCCTGTCAAAGAGATGATTTTTCATGTCATACCATGAGCCTACAGAAAAGGAAAAAAATAAACGTGGTATCTCGTTAAAAAGAAGCCAGCAACTATATATAAATGTGGCTGTGCTTTTTCCATAGCTATAGAGATATTTAAATGCTCTCTAGACTTTAATACTATGAAAAGATTAAATGTTCTTTGCAATGTTTTAGGATTTCTTAAAACCATCTGAACTAACTTTAGTTGCTGTGTTTACAAATGTGTCAACAGCTTACTTTAGAATCAGTCATACTAAAAGAGTTTTCATATCTCGTCAGTCTCACTGGTATTCTTCCTGTATAATTGTACTACTGCGAGTGAATTGATAGCTTGTGATGGTTTACGGTGTGGGTTTATTCTCCCAGATTAGTCTCGTGTCTCAAACTGAACTATACTTCCCATTGTTTATCACGGGTTACACTTTCCTCCAATTCTTCTTTGCTCCTGTCAGCTCTGCGAGGAATCGTTAAGTAAAGAATCAGGAGTTGCTGACCCCCCAGAGAGGCAGTAAGGGGCTTGTGCTCCCCTTCTCTGGCAATGCTGGCAGCATTCCTGGCCCTCATGTCCTCTATTTTGATGCCAAAGAAAAGCAGAGTGACTTAACTACCCCACTGGGCTTGTATGGGACGTCACAAGCCACCTCCTTCCTCTGCTAAGGCAGTGGGTCCTAGGTGCCTGAGAATATCGCCGTGTTAACACACAGACCGTCGGACTCCACTCCACAGTGTCTGCTTTACTAGGCCTGGGGTGAGCCTGAGAACGTGCGTTTCTAAAGGGTTCTGGGGAAAATGGCATTGACTGATGCCGCTGGTCCAGAAGCCGCATTTTGAGGACCACTGCTTTAAGGAATGATCAAGCTTCAGTGGCAAAGGAGCTTTCTCTGCAGAAGCTCTGGTAATCATCATTCCAGAGAACGCTATCCTTGGCACAAACCACACATTACAACCATTGGGTGCTTTACAACCACCATAGCTTATTCTCCTAACTTTTCAAGGTAGGGGTGATTTCATCCTCTCAGAATGTGAAGAATTTGAAACTCAGAGGTAAGGTTCTTGCCTTACCTAGCTGTCACACAGCTCGATGTGGCGGTGGGGGGAACTGAACTCAGAGTTAAGTCTAAAACCTGACTCATTTCACCCAATTTTTTAAATAATGTAATCATTTGCCTACTGTGTGCAAAACCAGGGAACACAGCACCAGGAAGAATAGAAAGATACTGTCCCAGCCCCCCAGCTTCCTGAAGCAGAATTGACACAAGGGTGTAAATTAAATGAGCTCTGATCATACCACAGGCACAGAAGAAATATAGTAAGTGAGTCATCTCATTTTACCTCTTGATTAGTGTTGCAAAGAGACAGTGGAATTACCTCCATTTTACAGACGCACAAACCGAGGCTTTGAGAAGTAAAGTAACTTGCTCAAAGTCATACAGGTTCCAAGGGCAGAGCTAGGATTTAACAAAGGGGAGGATTTAACTATGTGTTCTATTACAATATTTTCTTGTCTGTATTCTGGCAGGAGACAGGCTTGTGCATTAAAACCCATGTTACACAGAGACATCCCTGTTAAAAGAGGGGAAGACAAACAGCATTGGAATAGGAATAGACCAGGAAGGTGATAAGGGTGTTTAGGAGCTGCATTATTAAAAACGTAGGCCATAATATTCTGGTAGGATCCTTGACATCTAACAATGTAACAACAACGACAAAAAATAAGGACCCCATATAGGCAAAGGGTTGGAGGTTGAGACTATGAAGTTCATGGGGGGACTGGTGGACAATTCACTGGTTAGGGTTGGAAGAAAGGGAATAGCTGTCAATGACTTGGGGCTGTTGGACTATGGAGAGCCACATCTGATGGTTCCACAGCTAATGGGACACTGGGGGAGACGTCTGAATGGAGAACAACAAAAACTGTACCTTAGGAAGGTAACCCTGACTGCAAAATGGTAAAAGAACTGGAGGCATCAAATCCTACGGACAGAAAAGATGACTCTCTTCGTTCAGTTTCCAAGACAACCTAAGGAGAGGATATAGACTGAAAAATCTATAAGTAAGAATCATCCCTTACTTCCTCCTTTCTCTCCCATGCCACAGTCCATCCAAAGCACCTTCGGTGCCACCTTCAAAATATGTTCTCTATCCACCCAGCGCCCCTCTGCTTTCAATCTGGTGCCTCCCACTGCTCTGTCTCACCCAGGCTATAGCGATGGCCTCTTAACTGCCTTCCCTGCTGCACCCACTCTGGTTATAGTCTGAACCAACACAGCAGTCCCAGCTGTCTTTTTAAGACTGTCAATCACCTCACATTACTTTCTTACTCAACCCTCCCCTCAAGATTTCCTTTCACACTGTGGCTTCTAAGGCTGTGCATCAGGAACTGTCAAAATATTCTCTATAAAAGATGAGACAGTGAGGAACTGGAGCGTTGCAGGACACAAGTGATATAGTCTTCTTTTTTAAACAACTTTTTCATGAATTAAAAAGCTCTTCTCACCTAGAGGGCTGTATATAAACAAGCATAGGCTAGATCTGACCTGCTGTTGTGATTCCTGCCCTACTTGATCTGGTCTCCTCCACCTATCTGACCTTGTCACCGGCCAGTAGGAGGGTCTCCACCACCCACTCTGCTCCAGCCCTGTGGCCCTTCCTCTATTCAGACATGCAAATTCCTCCTGCAGGGCCTTTGCACATGTGCTTCCCTCTGTCTGAAATGCTCCTCCTTCAACATTCTCATGGCTCATTCCCATTCTGATCCATCTCTGTGCTCAGATATCTAATTAGTGAAGCCTTCTCTGTTCATCCTTCCTAAAAGACAATCCCCCTTACTGGACTTTTTTTTTTTTTTTGCTATATTATTTCTCATGGCATTTATTAGCTTATATATTATTTTTGATATGTATCTCTCTTCCCTCTCTCCCCTGAGGACATAAGCTCCCTGAGTCTTTGGTATGTTCTCTATCACATCTATATGACTTATCAGTGCCTGGCAAGCAAGCACTAATGTCATTTTCATAGTCATATTTCCTGAATGCATGAATAATAACTGGATGAGATGGTCCTTTTGTCTCCTTTGCACAGATGGGAAAAGACAAACTCTTCTATGACCAGCTAGTGAACAGTGAATCTGGATTTGAACTTGAGTTTAACTACAAATTCTACCAACTCTTTTCATTATTTGACATTAATTCTGGATAACATCTCAGGAAAGCAATGATGTGCCACATAGAAGACTTCTTGGGTCTGTTCATAAGGGGGATCCAGGCCTCACGTTAGTGAGACTTTATTGGGATGGCAGTCCCGTCTCTGCTGGGAGTGACCTTGGCTGTCATCATTGGCAGAAAGAGAATATACAGTACCATCTCATTGGACTGGAGTGGAGTAAGGGGAGAAGCCAGCAAAAGTACCCTGATGCCATGTCCTACAGTAAAATGTTCCATTAGATCATTAATTCAATCATCTCATCTGTAATTGCAAAAGTGATTCTGTCACTGACATTTCTTTTGATGGTTCCCAGAGGACACTACCCAGTAAGATAAACCTGATACCGCAATAAAGGGGAGGGTAACTCTGTTTCTCTCCAGCCATACATATGTTTCAAGACTATCAGATCTTTCACCTTCTTTTATAATCTGGGACCCCGGACTCCACCTTAGGGGTCCCAGGATCTGAAAAGACTCCTTGTGGATCTAACATAAGCTGTGAAAGCTTTGG